AAAGTACATACATAGTTCTCATCTAACAACATATAGCTCTCCAGAGCATCTAATTAATTAAACCATACATTAAAACTATGTAAAACATTTCAATGCGAAAACAAATGCGATCATAATCGCAACCAAGGTTACAATTGATCCAACGACATAATGATACCAAGCCTCGGTATGAATGGCGTATTTTCTAATCTTTCTAATCTTCAAGCGCATTGCATCCATCTTGATCTTGTGATCATCGATGACATCCGCAACATGCAACTCCAATATCATCTTCTCCTCCTCAATTTTTTTTAATTTTTTCCTTCAACAAATTGTTTTCTTCTTCAACTAAATTTAACCTCTCGACAATAGGGTCGGTTGGAATTTTCGATTCACATACATCCTACATAAATAAAATCTATGTCACGTTGGTCGGCATAATTTTCATAAACAATAAATGAACCAATAGTTATAAAGATAATATATATACCACATCCGAATCATAGACAGGACGAGGGCCGACGGGGGCGGATACCAAAACCATCGCACTATATAAGATGCAATAATAAAAGTAAGAAAATAATACAAGTATCTATGTAAACATAAAAGTAAGAATATTTTTTTCCTTTCAGAAAGAAGATAAGAACAAGAGGCTCACCACGGTGGTGCCGGCGATGAGCTCGGCGCGGGTGATCGACGGCGGTGAAGACGGAGACGGGGCGTGACGGACCGCTAAACCTAGACAAATATTGAGGAAAATGGAGTTTGGAGGTCGAGCTTGGAGAGGAGAAAGCTTAAGTAGTGTGGCTCGGGCATTCCATTGAACACCTTGTGTGCATAGGAGGTGAACTAGAGCACCACCAAGCCCTCTCCCCCTCGGCCAGAAAAAAACAGAGCAGTGTGCTCTGCTCTTACGCGAGGGGGTATATATAGGCACCTCATTGGTCCCGGTTGGTGGCATGAACCGGGACTAAAGGGGAGCCTTTGGTCCCGGTTCAAGCCACCAACCGGGACCAATGGTGGTGGGCCAGGAGCGAGGCCCATTGGTCCCAGTTCGTCCCACTAAACGGGACCAAAAGGTCCAGACGAACCGGGACCAATGGCCCACGTGGCCCGGCCGCCCCCCTGGGCTCATGAACCGGGTCCAATGCCCCCATTGGTCCCGGTTCTGGACTGAATCGGGACTAATGGGCTGACCCGGCCTGGACTGTTGCCCCCTTTTCTACTAGTGAGGAGGCGCCACCATGGTCGTATTGTTGTCGTCGCCGTCCATGAATTTAAGCAACTTACCCACAACGACGATGGAGGCAAACCAACTAAAGGGCACGATGGCACTGGAGAACAACCCCCCCCCCCTCCCTCGTGTCTAAATGGATGACCAGGGTGGCGGCGGGATAGAGGGACATGCAATGGCGTAGGACCCAGTTGGGCAAGGGTTGGCGGCCGCCCTACCTTGATTTGTTCGGTGCAGGCAGGGTGCAAGGTTGTGCATCGGCACGACAGTGTTGCCGGTTGCGAGTGACCAAAGCCCGCCCTACCTCAACTTTTGTATGTCCTCCGCCATTGTGATGGGGTGGCAAAGTAACACGTTAGTGATGCCACGTGGCTGGCAGAAGACAACCGGATGGCTGGTTTACACTTGACAAAAGAGGCGTTGTTGCTGGATGTGGAGAAGAACAACATGGTGGAGGTGATTTAGGCATAGGGAGAGTGTGTCGGTGGCTTTTCTTCTTCCTCTTCATGGAGGGCGGCGGTCGAAACCGGGCACAGTGGTCAATAATTTGAGTGGAGGCAAGTAATGTGATGTGTGGCACTTATATTAATTGTATAAATTCACAAAAACTGAATATATTTTGGTTTGAATACGAACATACTCTATTCAACTGAAATTGAATTCCGGGGAGGCCCCTCCCCCCAGACCAGACTCCAGTTGTGCTTGGGTCAGGTCCTGCCGACAGTGGAGTACACGAAAGTGGTCGTGGTAGACCGTAGTAAATTGGCTCTCCCCAGAAATTGCAGCCTGGGATGGGATGGATACAGCCCTTCACGCACGTAAGGAGTAATTCCAGACGTTTTTAATCAAGACAAGATGTGTTTTGCCTCGATTTTTTCTCCTCTTGTTTAAAAGTTAACCCCGGGAGGTGGGATTGCGTGCATGCATGCACGTACTTGTTCGAATGGAGTTTCTCCTACTTGTTCGAATTGAGTACAAGAGTCGGAGAACGGCAGCCGACAAACCGATGCACGAACAGAAGGAAGCCTTCCGGACTATGTTAATTTACCGTGAAGCAGAAGCTATCAACTGTGCGGCAGGTCGCTGGATCTCGTTGCACCTAGGACCTAGCTAATCCAGACCAAGGGCAGTGCGTGGCCAGGTCGGTAGCGGTCGCATGGAATTATAGGCCGTCTTAGCTAGCGTGCATTGACCTCCCGTACGCGTGTGTGTGCCCATCATATTCATATATTTTTAGGGGACGCATCATATTCATATGTAAATATATAATCGTTCTCAGTATGCCGTCATGCATTATTGTGTGTGCGAAATGACTGTTGTATTGTACCAAAGGACAGCAATAGTATCATTCTGAAAGAAAAAAAAAGGCCGGCAATACGAAGAGCATCTTTGCAATGAGATGGAAGAAAAATGTTACGCGACACCGATGGTTCTTTGTTGGGTACCCACTGTCCCAGCATACATGTGTCTGTCGGGCTGTCGACCGATCGCGACAATTTTGCTTATCCCACAAACTAAACTGTGTACAGAGTATTATCCGAGTTGAATGTACGACACAGACTCGTATTTTCTTTTTAGCCCGTGAATGATCCAGGAGGTACGTTCAAGGGAATCACGTGACGTACTTCTGGCCTGCGAAGGTCGCTTTGCATGCATGGTACCCGCCAAAAAAAATAGAAGAAGAAGATGTGGTGCACATTTGCAAAGCGGGTCTCGTCAGATGGTGGTGCTTATTAGTTTCTCCAGGACAGACAAATCGGCCGCCATCAATGTGTACGTCCGAGTGCTACACGCCGGATGACCGATCAATAGTCGACGATGGGAATGGGATACCGAATCAAGTTCGCTGCGCCATCTAACAAGCAGGAGCAACACGGTATCGATCTGCAGCATAAATGATTTTATTTCCGTTTTTATCGGCCACGTCTTTTTTTTTTAGTGGAAACAAGCAGAAGCAACCCCCTAATAAAATAAACAAGCAGAAGCAACACCTAAAAAAACTAGCTCAGTGCGCGTGCGTTGCCACGGACTAAAAGCATTTTCATGAAAAGATAAATAAAATCATAATCTGAATTTTGCTTAGATTGTATTTAAGTCCTAGCTCTCTTACTATCAACATGCACCCTAGTAACTCACCAATTACAATCCCAACCCTTTCATTTGTACAGAACAAAAATATATAGACAAACTCTTCATTCTATGTTGTCACAAACACATGGGGTGGCTCCCTTCCCATTTTATTACCACTACACACTCCCACTTCCTTTCTATTGACATTTGGACTATGTCTTGTTGCCACTGCCATGCATGGGTTCACAATTTTGTCTTGACCAAGGTTCCTACCAGTAGGGCCGACGGATGGAAATAAAGGTTTGAAACAATGGAGGAATTGTGTCCTCACATTCAGCAGGCACACATGAAGAGCAAAGACGCTGTCTTCCTCCAGCTCTGCATATTACTGTTATCCACTAAGACCGAAAAAGATGAGGATCAACATATTCGTGTATGTTTCCATTTGCAGAGCATTTCAAAGAGGTGTTCCATCCCTCGCTTTAGGTTAATATATCACCGGTTCATTCTCCTCAATCACAAACCTTCAGCTAAATTCTTCTTGGTATGACAAGGACATTATATTAAACATGCTCGTATCCTAAAGCAGCTGGTCTTTTTTTCAGTTGTCGTCGAACGTGGGTTGTTCCCTGCGTTTTTTTTGTGCGGGATCGTAAGATGGGAGGTCGAACGAGGCGGGGGAATCGAACGAGGTGGTCGAACCATCACGACGTTCGATCCCCCTTTAATATATAGTAGAGATAAGCAGAAGCAAGCGATATCTACCGTGCAAATTCCATATTTACACGCAGTTGTAATTAAGCAGAAGCAAAGCGATATCTGCAGCATAAATGAATTATTTCTATTTCTTATCCGCAGTTATAACCACAAGCATGCAGAAGCGACCGGTATCTGCAGCTTAAATGAATTATTTCCATATTTCACCGCAGTTATAATTAAGCGGAAGCAAAGCCATATCTGCAGCATAAATGATTTTATTTCCATATTTAACCGCAGTTATATTATATTTAAGCAGAAGCAAGCGATATCTCTAACATGAATGATTTATTCCACTTTTCATCCGCAGTTATAATCAAGCAGCAAATCTTTTGGCTAACATCACACCTCGGTCGCGATATATCCACCGTATCGTACGCACGTAAGGGAGGCTGATACGTGTATAAATGGTTCATTTCCATATTTAGACGAACACACACACACAAAAAAGCACAGCCCAAAATTCTACCGAACCATCACCGCCGAGCGAAGACGGATCCTTGCCACGCGGCACGCCCCGGCGTCGGCCGATCGTCCATCGCGACGGATTTGGTGGTCTGAACGTAACCGCCGCAGCCCGGCGATGGAGGCGACGCAGTCGGCCGCACGCATGCACGTACAGGCGCACGCGCATCGATCTGCATGCAGTCGTGCGGTTTGGTGGCTTGCCGTTGATATGGCAGGCGCACGCCTCCCACCTCTCACGTAATCTATCCTTCGGCAGTTTGCGCCACTCGCGCGCATTGCCTTCCCTCCGTCCTGAACCTTTTCCTATATAAAGGGACCAGCCCCCCACGGACATCAGGAGATTACAACAGCAGCTACGATCGGCTGCTGCGCACCGATCGATCTCAGAGTCCACGAGGCATTAGCTAGAGCTAGAGGAGGGCAGAGCTCAGGGATAGAGTTCAGATAGAGAGATAGAGAGAGGGAGGGAGATCTCCTGGACGATCCGTCGAACATGTATCATGGCGGCCCGGGCATGTCTCCTGCTGCCGCCGGCGGTCGTGGCGGCACGGCCAGGAAGGTCGCGCCATGGATCCTCGCCTGCGGCTTCCTGCTCTGCTCGTCCGTCCTTTTCCTGGGTGAGTTAATTCAGCCGACGAACCATCGTCCGCCTGTACTGTAATTTCTTCTTCTATTCGATTCCTTGAGCTCGATCGTTGATGAACATACTCGCCTCTTCCTCATACAGTCATACGCAAGTACGTAAGGTCGTCTCCTAGATCGCATCCCGGCGAATCCAGTCAGAGTCAGTCATCAGCTCGCCTGTATTTTCTTTGGTTTTCATTTTTCAGTCTGCAGACGCATCTTCAGTTTTTGTGAAGAAATTACCAGGACTCGTGTTTCCTTCTTCCTTTCCTGTTTCGGCACCATGCATGAATGCCCCAATCTGTTCTTCAACATGCCTGAATTTTCCTTTCCCTACACCCAAGCCGGTGGTTATCTGTCGATATTCAGCGACTCGCTAGCTTGTAGTTGTAGACGCATGTTCAGTTTTCTGGAAGAAATTACTAGACTCGTGCCTCCTTCTTCCTTTCCTGTTTTGGCATGAACGTCCCAATCTGATTTCCACCTGCCTGAAATTTACTTTCTATACACCCAAACATCTGAATTTGTTGGCGGTTTGAGCCTGCAATCTGTTATGTCCTTGGTTGCACCCTGGCTAGGATAAAGGATTTCTGTTTATTGGAGGGAGGGGCAGAGGATCCTTGAGGATAAAGATGGCGCCAACGGCCAAAATGCTTGCGTCCATTAACTATGGCTTGCGGTGTAGGTAGTCAGTAGAGCCGTAGAGGCGGTGGTTGTCAGGCTTAATTATTCCTTGTGTTCTTGGTGGGGTTTCTGTAAAGAATATAATCCCGGGTAGGGTAACAACAACGCATGCATGATTGGCTGATTGCTTTCATTATTATGTTGATATATTGTATTCTACTCCATTACGGCTGGTATTTCTTTATGCAATTCCATAGCGTGTTAAACAAAAGCAATCCGTTTTAGTTAGCTAATCACGTCGATTATATTAAGGGGCGCCCCTGCCTGTCTGAACAGAAACTGCAAATTGCAGACATAGTTTAGACTATTGGATATGAATGATGCACCGAAATAGGCGTGCTTAGACCAACTCTGTTCTCACCATGAATCATGCATGCTTGCGTTGCAAACATGTCGGCCAATAGATTAGTGATCACAAGTTTGGGCTGGCCTACCTAAAAGACATTATGAGTCTTTGATTGTCATTTATTTTGTATTAGTAGCGGTTGCATCTCAACCCAATAGAGTATTCTGCCAATCATATTTCTGCGTGACGTCCAAAGGTAACCCTCTTTTGCAGCGATGCTTAAATCAAATACTCCCTCCGTTCGGAATTACTCGTCCAAGAAATGAATATATCTAAATGTATTTTAGTTGTAGATACATTCATTTTTGTGACAAGTAATTCCGAACGGAGGGAGTACTTGTTAGTCTCACTCTCATCAGACAACCTAAGCCCTAGGTCAAATGTTTGTTGTACTAAATATATAGCAAAGTTTCTGTCTATACGCAAAAGCACAAATAGGCAAGAAAGATTGTAGTCTTTGCTGAGAACTTGATCCCCATGCATCATCATGTATCTTATCCTTGAGCTTTCATGAACCTACTACTCAAACTTGTCTATATTTGCACATATCAATTAGCTTAAGCCCAAAGTCAAAACTAAGTTTGTTGTCCTAGATAGCATCATTTCCATATTAAAACACAGGAGGAAAGAAGGTTTATGAATAATCCAAGCTGGCCACTCGATTCCCATTGAATGCATCACTGTATATCGCATACTTGAGCTTTCATGGACCAGCTCTAGTTAGGCAGCTAAGAGATGCTATGGATCCAGATAAGACCATTAAGCCATTGATTTAAACACAATAGACCCCTATACGCTACAAATTGGACTACAATTAATCGCAAGAGTGAACATTACTGAATTAGAAAAACTCTGTTGAAAGCGAAATGTTTGGACCATGACGCATGCATCAACTTGCCCTTTTCTTTTTTCCCAACCATGTCTCCGACTTCAACCCTGACATCGACTGATACTGTTGACAACGAGTTGAAAAAGTGTTTATATCCATCGCATGCTCACCTAAAGTTGAATGTATGCATGGTAGGGTTGGCCCATTTCAAGTCCTAGGTAGGAAAAGATGTTACAGTAAGGTTGGCTGTGTACAGACTAAACTTAGAACTTTTGTGGACACGATCAATTCTTCTCTCGTGGCAGTAGAACCGTTCCTTTTGCTAAACTAGGGTGTCAGTTCGTGTAAGCCTAGTCGTCGACCTACTCCTTTGTTCTTCGTTTGATAATGCTTCAGAAATATGATTTGAAATTGTTGAATGCAATGCTACACAACCTACCTATTCTGGAAACATATATATCAAATTGGTTAGGTAAAACATGAATACGAAGACGGTTAATTAAAGATTGCATCATTCCTCTAGAAACTTATTTCTATTCTTACATTGGTTAATTCCCTTGATGGTACGCGCGCGTGAACCATATATGATGCATGATGGTTAAATTACTTCTGATCTAGTATGAAAGAGCAACGAAATTTAACATTTTCTCATGTGAAAATGCAGGAGCTGAAGGCGCCATTGGTGTGAACTACGGCATGATCGCCAACAACCTGCCGACGCCGGACAAGGTGATCGCCATGTACAAGGCCAACAAAATCAGCTACGTCCGCCTCTTCCACCCGGACACGACCGTCCTCACCGCGCTCCGGGGCACGGGCATCGGCGTCGTCCTCGGCACGCTCAACGAGGACCTCGCCCACCTCGCCTCCGACGAGTCCTTCGCGGCCTCGTGGGTGGCCTCCTACGTCAAGCCCTTCGCCGGCGCCGTGACGTTCCGGTACATCACGGCCGGCAACGAGGTCATCCCGGGCGACCTTGGCACGCACGTCCTCCTCGCCATTAGGAACATCGAGACCGCGCTCAAGGCGGCGGGCGTCACCGGCGTCCCGGTCACGACGGCCGTGGCCACGTCAGTGCTGGGCGTCTCGTACCCGCCGTCGCAGGCCGCGTTCTCTGAGGCGTCGGCGCCGGTGATGGCGCCGCTGGTGGCGTACCTGTCGGCGAAGAAGGCGCCGCTGCTGGTGAACGTGTACCCGTACTTCGCGTACGCGGCGGAGCCGGAGACGGTGCAGCTCGGGTACGCGCTGCTGGCCGGGTCGAGCGCGACGTCCAAGATCAAGGTGGCAGCGGTGGCGGACGGCGGGCTGGTGTACACCAACATGTTCGACGCGATCCTGGACGCGGCGCACGCGGCGGTGGAGAAGGCCGGCGCGCAGGGGCTGGAGCTGGTGGTGTCGGAGACCGGGTGGCCGTCGGGCGGCGGCGGGACGGGCGCCACCGTGGAGAACGCGGCGGCGTACAACAACAACGTGATCCGGCACGCGGCGTCGGGCGCCGGCACGCCGCGGCGGCCGGGCAAGGCCGTGGAGACGTACCTGTTCGCCATGTTCAACGAGAACCAGAAGCCCGAGGGCACGGAGCAGCACTTCGGGCTCTTCCAGCCGGACATGAGCGCCGTCTACCCCGTCGACTTCGCCGCCGGCGCCTACTGAGGACTGAACGACGACTGGGACCGTACAGCGCCGAGATTTAGTTTTACTGCTACCGCACAGATTAATTCGTTTACAGTTTACTCGCTCGTTTAGTCACAGGTTTATCACTTTAATTTACAGCAGCTCTGTACATGTGTAGTGCATGATGGTACACGGCATATATATACTACGGGGAAGAGCTCATTGCTCTTTGGTTATGACGAGTGCGTTGAATCTGATCTCTATTGCTACTGATGCTGTTCAATTTGCTCTCCCGTGTGCTTGAAAAGTAAAATTCATATTACTCCCTCTGTTTCAAATTACTCGTCGTGGTTTTAGTTCAAATTACTAAAACCACGACGAGTAATTTGGAACGGAGGGAGTACCTTGGAAGAATTTAAGACAGATATCCCAGGTACTTGCACCATTTTTTATAAGGGAGGCAAATATAATGTATACTTCAACATTTTCCATATGAATCTAAGAAAAATCTTGTGAGCCAGAGTATTAGTGCTACTTATCATTTTTGTTCTGCGCTATATTTTTTGCGGGTGCTTGTTATGCGCTACTAACTGCATAATTGCTGCCTGCTAGTGCTGATCGATCCATCAGCCGTATGAGTAGCTAGGAATCAATTTCTGAAGCAGGAGATGTTTTTTTTTGTAGCTGTTCATGAAGGTTAGGAGTCTGTTTCTGCTCTTTTGTAGTTGATCTATATGCTCTATTTTGACATTCAAGGGGACAAAGGAAAGTCAAATTAATCATGTCACAAGTAAATGTAGCAAGTTGCGGTGAGGCTGTGATGAAGTATCAGCGTTGCTATACACACGACATATATGTGCCCGATGCCTGGACGATCCAACGTGGCAGCACCTACAGCGAGCATGCACGCTTCACGCAAATTTTTTTAAAGCTGCTGCCCAGCGCTCTTGGGATGGAAGGTGTCGTCTGTAGATCGTGCGGTTCTGTCGTGCATGAAGCAATTTCGATGAAGTATTTCACACTTATGCCAAGAGGCCCTAGGTTCAGCACGGCCCTTTTGCATTGCCCTGGTATGGGAGCTTCTAGCATTGGGCTGTCTCTTTCCTTTTTGATTTGTAGCAACATTACACAAGTGTGTACAAAAAATGCATCCGGCCTGCAGGTCAACTTGAGCAAGTCGGCGGTAATCCCTATTTGCTGTTCCGACGATGAGAAGGCCTTGGCCGCGACTACCCTGGCCTGTGATCTTGGCTCCTTCCCGTGCCGCTACCTGGGGATGCCGCTTTGTCTCAGAAAGCCTTCCGCGGCCCAGCTGCACACCATGGTGGAGCGCATTGCTCAGAGCCTGCCGAACTGGAAAGCTGCTTCCTTGCCGAAGAGCGGACGGCTCATCCTCGTTCTTTCTGTTCTCTGTTCGGTTCCCATTCATGCGATGCTTGCACTATCACTACCAATGAAGACAATTCATGCCATAAACAAGATCATACGTGGGTTCTTATGGTGTGGCAAGAAGGAAGCGAGTGGTGGAAATTGCTCGGTGGCCTGGAAAACAGTCTGTACGCCAAAGTGGGCGGGCGGGCTAGGCATCCCAGACCTGGCTTGGCTCAATGTTGCCTTACAAGCCAGATGGCCTTGGCTACAGCATGTGGATAAGAACAGACCATGGAGCGAGTTCGACATCAAAGTTCCGAAGGAATCGACTGCAATCTGCAATGCGGCAACCAAGATTTCAGTAGGAGACGATAGCCTGACCCTCTTCTGGGAGGATCGCTGGCTAAATGGATATCGCATTGCGGAAATCGCCCCGCAAATCTATGAGGCTCAAGAGAAGAACGAGAACCCTAAAGGAGGCTATCACCTTTGGAATCTGGACATCCGATATCAAACCAGACCTAGGCCCGCAGGCCCTAGGGCAGTATCTGAACCTGTGGCCGAGAGTTCAGGAGGTAATATTGCATGATGACGTACAAGATGTGGTGTCCTGGTGTTGGGAGCCTGGTGGCATGTACTCGGCCCGGTCTGCCTACGCGGCGAAATTCGCTGGCAGAGAGGTGTCAGCCACAGCGCAGTTTACGTGGAAGTCCAAAGCGCCGTTGCGCTGCCGCTTCTTCCTTTGACCTGCCATGAAGAACATGTGCTGGACAGCGGATCGGTTGGCTCGGCGAGGGATGCCACACAACGACAGTTACCCCTTTTGTGACCAGGAGGAGGAAACCTTGAATCACATCCTGCTAACTTGCATCTTCGCAAGGACAATTTGGAGAACCCTTTCCACCACAATAGGAAAGCCTGCATGGACACCCGCATGGCACGACACTCTAGCTGTTTGGTGCGCGGATAAGCTGAAGAACATGCGCGTCATCATCTCCTTGGTCCTTTGGGAGATCTGGGAACACCACAACGACATTGTTTTTGATGGCGCCTCTCCCTCATTAGCTGGGCTCATTATGAAGATCGTGGAGGAGGGATCGGCTTGGTTCAGAGCCGGACTGCTCAAGGGCGACTGGGCTGGAGTTGCAGCGGAATTATCGAGGTGGGCGATAGGCGAGTAGTCATACGGTGTTTTTCTTGTTTTCCATGCAGATGTTGGAGCTTCACTCGTGATGTACTAAATTTGTAACATCATTGGTGGATTTAGGCTCTCTGCCCCCCTTCTATATAATATAGTACGCACACTCGTGCGTATTCGAGAAAAAAAGTGTGCAAAAAAAATGACCACTACGTTTTTAACTGAATTGGGGGCTAGCGTGACAGACCTTGTTTAGTTGAAACTTCCATACTACAACTAGAAGCCAGAGCTGGAATAATTAACATTGATACTTTATGGCATGGATGGGGGTTATAATCCTTTCATGAACTCTAAATACCAAAATCTAGAATTTCGATAGCTTAACGAGGATACTTTATTTGCAACATGTCAACAACTTATGAAGTTCTGATTAAATACCATTTAAAAGGGAAAGAATTTAAGCATGATATTACCACGCACAATGTGGTATCTTTTTTCAAAGAGGGGAAAGCCCGGCCTCTACATTCGTGTGTGGTATCTTGATAGAGAGTTTCATATATATTGTATCATTGCACACTTGGATGGGAAAGACTTGGGCAGGCTCAACAAGCTAAAACATATGCTGAACATGGAGGCTTCCATCTATGTGAGCCGACAACTTGGGTATGAAATATGAGACCAAAGTCTCCTGCCTATACGAATGAACTCCACTGACTTCAAGGACTCGCCATGGGACACTCGTGACTTTGAAGGCGGGAATGAGCACGTGTCGAGCCCCTGACTAAGTTATAAAAGCAATTGAAGCTGACACCAGAAGCAAGTTGTAGAACATGCTGTGACGGTGATCACGCTTCCTTGTGCAAACTTTACCTTCAAAACGGGAGCACACATTGTCCATATGTTCTGCTTGTGTTCCTGGAGTTTCCAGCTTCTAAACTGCGTGCTTCATTGGGCAACATTAACACCCTGCTCCGGTGATGGAAGAATACGAGCTGATGAACATATGAGCTTTCGGTTTTCTTTATCATTAGATCATGAAGGTCTCTAAAGAATTGTTTTGTTCGTCGTTGTGTTGCGTGTGGTTTCCAATCGCTAGCCAGGCTTCAAAACAAGGGAATTTGCCTACTCGGATAAATATAAAAACAATGCATTCTTTTATTGGAGAAGAGGCAAACCTTTGCCATATTTCATTGATAGGGAGAGTTGCTACCTTTTATGAGAGGAAAATACACAGTTTGCATAGATGCCGCCACATTGACCGACTGGAAATGATCATAAGTGTGTTGTTGGTATTCTGGAGAACCAGGAGACATTGAAGTCACCATGCATGTAGCAGAGAAAGTGTTGCGGTCATCGCTCTCAACAAAAACTCGTGGAATCAGCTCGTGTACATACTCTCAACTTGAACTCATATTCTTAGTGCATCCCATGCCTACCAGTGATCATAGTCTAATCACAGTCCACATAGACGAAGCTAGCATCATTTCTCTACCCACCCACCGAGTGAAAACAACCAAAATGGGCAAGTTTACATTTTTGCGGTGCAGTTTTGAGTGTTCACCTCCTATGCTCAATGGGACTATGTAGTTGCAAAGGAGTAACTCGAAGTTGTATTTATGAATCGGGAGTTGTTGATTTTTGCCACCTCACCAATCACATGTCCAGTTTTTCTAGAAATGAGTACATTTGCTATAAGATCTACCAACCATATTGACATATTTTATTTAGATAGCTAACAAGTTGGTTTCATGAGTCGGGTATTATTGATTTTTTCCACTTCCCAGGTTGCATGTCAAACTATTTACCCTTGGACTGCTCCACTCAGAGCCAACTACTCTGTCCGACTACATTGAATGAGAATCTTCATATTTCCTTCTCGATCCGCTAACCTTGCACCGCTCCATCCATCCGCCTCAGACCACTGGTGTCGTTGTCATGGAGGACTGCAACCACTACATACCAACTCCTATACACCTCCTCTAGGCTTCCTAAACGCGTTGGAGCAAACACCGATCCAGCGCAGTTTGATGGTAGAGTACAAAACTCCCCACATCTAGGAACCCAAAGTTCCGTTGTATGAATGGACTGATGGAAGATGACTCATAGAGAACCTGCTTTGTCGTCGTCGAGAGCGCTACTGAGATAAAGGCGGGATTGGGAAAATATTATTCTACGCACTACCGCCTCTGTCATCCTAACACCGACGCGAGACACACCTACCATAAGGACTAGTGGTTGGTCCAGGATGCCGCCACATTGGGATGATGAAGGGACCATTTCCTCTCCTCCTGCCGCTAGAATGATGAAGGGGAGGAGAGGGGACTTGTGACCTCGCTGGCAAAAGGCAGGGGAGACCGACCGCCTCCCTTTTTGCCTTTTCTGCAGAAATATCATGGAGGAGAAGAGTGCGAGGCACCATCATGTTGGGGAACGTAGTAATTTCAAAAAAATTCCTACGCACACGCAAGATCATGGTGATGCATAGCGACGAGAGGGGAGAGTATCGTCCACGTATCCTCATAGACCGTTAGCGGAAGCGTTATGAGAACGCGGTTGATGTAGTTGAACGTCTTCATGATCCGACCGATCCAAGTACCGAACGCACGACACCTCCGAGTTCAGCACACGTTCAGCTCAATGACGTCCCACGAACTCCGATCCAGCAGAGCTTCACGGGAGAGTTACGTCAGCACGACGGCCTGATGACGATGATGATGTTGCTACCGACGCAGGGCTTCGCCTAAGCACCGCTATGATATGATCGAGGTAGATTATGATGGAGGGGGGCACCACACACGGCTAAGGGATCAATGATCAACTTGTGTGTTCTAGGGTGCCCCCTGCCTCCGTATATAAAGGAGCAAGGGGGAAGACCGGCCGGCCCCTGTAGGGCGCGCCAGGAGGAGGAGTCCTCCTCCTAGTAGGAGTAGGACTCCCTTTTCCTATCCTACTAGGAGGAGGAAAGGAAGGGGGGAAGGGAGAAGGAAGGAGAGGAAGGAAAAGGGGGAAAGGGGGGCCGACCCCCTAGTCCAATTCGGTTTAGGCTAGGGGGGCCGCACGCCCTTCCTCCTCCCTTCCATCACTTGGCCCATGAGGCCCATTACTTCTTCCTCGTATTCCCGTAACTCCTCGGTACTCCGAAAAATACCCGAATCACTCGAAACCTTTCCGATGTCCGAATATAGTCGTCCAATATATCGATCTTTACATCTCGACCATTTTGAGACTCCTCGTCATGTCCCTGATCTCATCCGGGACTCCGAACTACCTTCGGTACATCAAATCACATAAACTCATAATACCAATCGTCATCGAACGTTAAGGCGTGCGGACCCTACGGGTTCGAGAACTATGTAGACATGACCAAGATACGTCTCCGATCAATAACCAATAGCGGAACCTGGATGTTCATATTGGCTCCTATATATTCTACGGAGATCTTTATCGGTCAAACCGCATAACAACATACGCTGTTCCCTTTGTCATCGATATGTTACTTGCCGATATGTTACTTGCCCGAGATTCGATCGTCGGTATCTCAATACCTAGTTCAATCTCGTTACCGGCAAGTCTCTTTACTCGTTTCCGTAATGCATCATCCCGCAACTAACTCATTAGTTGCATTGCTTGCAAGGCTTATAGTGATGTGCACTACCGAGAAGGCCCAGAGATACCTCTCCGACAATCGGAGTGACAAACCCTAATCTCGATCTATGCCAACTGAACAAGTACCATCGGAGACACCTGCAAAGCACCTTTATAATCATCCAGTTACGTTGTGACGTTTGGTAGCACACAAAGTGTTCCTCCGGTAATCGGGAGTTGCATAATCTCATAGTTATAGGAACATATATAAGTCATGAAAAAAGCAATAGCAGTAAACTAAAACGATGAAGTCCTAAGCTAACGGAATGGGTCAAGTCAATCACATTATTCTCCTAATGATGTGATCCCGTTTATCAAATGACAATTCATGTTTATGGTTAGGAAACATAAACATCTTTGATTAACGAGCTAGTCAAGTAGAGGCATACTAGTGACACTCTATGTGTCTATGTATTCACACATATATTATGTTTCCGGTTAATACAATTCTAGCATGAATAATAAACATTTATCATGAAATAAGGAAATAAATAATAACTTTATTATTACCTCTAGGACATATTTCCTTCACATCATTCGTAGTCCTTTGTTCTACTCCATCCAAACCCAGTTTCAATCTGGATTGTTTGTGATGCTTCTGGCAGCGTGAAGACAAATCTTTTGTGACAACATATAAAACATTGATTTTCACAATAAGACGTGAATCGAATATGTCTTGAAAGATTCAAAGAAGATAGTAAACCTACTTTTCACATCACTGTCCTCTCATGATGCAAAACCAACAACAAGGAATATGTATTGTCTTCACTACAAAATACATGGCGTTTTAGATATGGATAAAGTCCCTAAGGTGAAATTTTTATTGTTCCTTTTTTGTGTACACGTTAGTAAAAATTGTAATAATAAACATTTTAAAATTATTATTGCTTGAGTAATTGGCGAGTTACCCATAAAAAACAGACACATTGTGCATGATTTATAGTAAAGCGCACCCACGTGTCGGCCCAAGTTTAAGTGGAGAGGTATATCAGGGCATGAGATTTGTGACCACGACGACCACCATCTCTCCTTTAACAGTAAAGATGAATATGAAAAATTTATGTGTGTTAGCCTGGTAGCTACCATATTCTTTTTTTTAGCATCCCATATTTTTTTTTGTTGAACTGCCAATTGCATCTCTTCTGTACTTTCTTCCAAGGGTATTTAGCATTTGTTGAGCAAAATAAGATTTGAGAGAGAGAGAGAAAAAAAGTTGGCCCAACTGAAATAAACAAAAGCCTAACTAACTAGCCCATGGGCCCAAAAGGGGCAAGCACAGTGCCACGTTACCCCTGCTTTCGCTGAACACGTGGTGATCCAACCCACGAGAGCACTAGACGAGGAGTGAACTGGCCGAGCGAAGCGAAGAGGGGATTGGATTGCCTCGGTAAAAAGAAAGGATTTCCTTGGCTGCGTGGAAGGAGCGAGAAGAGGCGAGCTCTCGAATCTGCGGCGCCTCGTTTCTTCGCCGACTCGATCTGCCGGCGGTGAGTTAGGTTCCTTCCGCTCTCTCTCTGCTTGATCTGTTTACCCCCCGTCTGGTCTTCTGGTTCTTTGTAGCGTCGTATGGATAATCCATATGAGTAGCGTTCATGTAAAATTAGGAGTGTATTTCTGCAGTCAGTGTGATTTGGTTTGTAGTTGCTCCGGGGAATTGATCGAGCAAGGGAAAGTAGGAGGCGCAGGTCGCTGGAGCAGTTGATTTGTGCTCTGTTTTTACATGAAGAAAAGGGAGTCAAATTAATCTTGGCGCTAGTATAAGTAGCAAGTTTTGGTGAAAGATTTAATGGGAAAATTATAAGCTGAGATCTGTAGCATCGTGATGTTTGATAGTTTCTGTGCACAAGCGCGCGAGCAAAGAAGAGATCACTGCGTTTCTGACTGAACCGAGCAGTGTCGCTTTGGAACTTCTGTGGCTGCAACTGTAAGGCACAGCTAGAGTAATTAGCAATTTAACACTGATGCTTTGTGCCATGGATGGGTGTCATAATCATTGTGCCATGAACTCTGCAGTAGCTTTGCCTGCAGTTTCCTTTGTTGCGTATAATCAGGAATATAGATAGCTTGCCAAGGAGGAGGGTACTTTATCTGCATCTTGTCAAATACTACTTCTGAAGTTCTGATTAAATAGAAAGCATTTTAGCATGATGCTACTGTGTATAATGTGGTGTCTTGGCATCGAGTTTTCATATCTAGTGGGATATCGTTGCAGGCATGGATGGGAAGAACTTGGGCAGTGGGCAACTAGCTCAGCAAGCTAAGCCAGATGCCTTGACAGACGATCAGGGGGCAGCCCTGAAGCACACTGCAGATTCTCACACCGGAAATCCGACTTCAGTGAATGGTCACAATTCTGTAGATATGAACATGGAAGCTGCGATCTCAGCCGATGATGTCATGCGAGCCGGTGGCTTTGGCGCCAAAGACGACATCGGCAGCCTCCTACCGACGGCGATGGACTCCACCGACTTCGAGGCCTCGCTGCGGGATGCCCGCGACTTTGAAGGCGAGCAGGAGCAACCGGCGCGCCCTGGGCTGGGTTACAGGGCATCGGAAGCTGACACGGGAATCAAGCCGTCGGAGGCGCCACCGCAGTGATCCTGCTTTCTTGTGCAACTTCTGTTTCAGAAAGACAAAGCACGCCATCCATGTTTCTGTAGTTTTCCAGCTTCTGTTGTGCTTCAGTTGGTAGCCCTGACATCTTGTTGTTTTGGTGCTGGATGAATATGAGCTTATGAACACACGAGTTATGCGAAAGTATGGTTTTATTTGGTGTTGTGTTGCCCCTGATGGTTACAGTTTATGTTGTTATCCCTTTGGTCAGAAGTCAACTTTTTTGTTTTCAGGAACAGGGGATACTCCAGCCTAGACAAATAAAGAACCAGTGCAATCCTTAGTGGCAAAAGCTTCATTGAAGGAGAGTTGCAAATATTTTCGAGAGACCACGTAGTACCACTCTACTCTCACAAGATCAGTGTTCTTGGGTGTTTTGCTCTTGGCTCTGGCTAACACACAAGTTAGGAAGCTGGGAAGTAGTATTCTCATTCCATTAGTCCCTTGAGACGAGTGTTGGGGATACACATAATAGGTAGGCCCATGAAAGGTCGAAATATCATAAAGCATGGGGTCCACACAACATGTGGGTCCAGATAAATTTCATACAGGCATACTATCCACTCGACCAAGCAGCATACCATCCACTTGATCAAGCAGCATACCATCCACTCGACCAAGCAACATATATACCATCTACTCCAATGACAGTTCGCCACTCGACGGTACGACTCACTCGGATATACGAAGACCAGTAGGCAACAAAGCAGTCGGCATTATTCTCATAGTGAGGGCTTGGTAGTGGGCTGGTATTATGGCATTCATGCCCCGCTTTGTAACATAGGAGGTGGGGGGGGGGCACTCTATATAAGCCACCCCCACCACTAGACGAAGGGGCTTTTTTCTTCCACCTCTCTCTTTTTCACTATTAGTCTCAGGATTACGGGGATCCGTTCTCCTCACATTGTAATCTCCGGATACATACTAAGATAAAACAAAGCCTCTCCGGAGCACGAGACGTAGGGTTGTTATATCCACCGTGAAAGGCCCGAACTCGCTAAAATCACCGTGTCACCCATATGCATCTCGATAAATCATGCTCCTTTATCCTACCTCTTTCTTATTGTCGAAACCGTTACCACGACAGTTGGCGCCCACCTTAGGGCATGGCGTTTATCGAACCATGATGCAAATGGTTTTCTTTCTTCAATGTTCGTCCGCCGATCAACAATCATCAATGGAAGATCTGATCCAAGATGTTTCGGACATCACTCCATTCACAGGGAGTCATGATACTCTTCGTACACAGGGATCAGAAAGTCCCATTCCATACTATTTTATTCTTTACAATTGATCATCGACGATCTAACAAATCTGTTGGTTTTCTTCCTGTATGAACAATCACCTGGGATATTGTTATTGCTATTGTACAGATCAAACAAAAGGAAAAAAGGGAGCACGGATGCTGGCCACGAGACCAACCACGACAGCTCTTTTCTCCAATCGATCTTTCAACAGCGACCTGCGCGGTGAAGGCACCAGCTCGACGATGGCCTTCACGGTACACGCCTGAACTCAACTGCACGACGGCGACCACCGCAGCGGATGCACGGCCCCGACGCGGCGTCGACGTTTGGACTGGCCACGTCCCGGACCACAGCGCTCCTCCGAGCGGCCGACTGCAGGACGCAGCCACCAGATCGACTCAGCGTCGTCTCAAGCTCTGCCTGTGCAGGCTCACAGGAGAACGCCGCCCCGTACTCGGATCTATCGCAAGCCGCCTCACCTCGCGCTGGATCAATGAGCGGGCCGCCGCCGTGGCCGACAAGGGAGCCCAGCCCCGCCTTCCTCTTTCTTCCTAATCTTAATTCCATCCCATTCATTTCCTGCATGCAGGGAATAAATGGCCGCGGGAAAAGGGAAACGTCCCTAGCATGCATAACGGGATTTTAACTCTTGCTAATTAGCATTAATGCCTCTTGCATGCAGATCGGGCGTGCAGATTCTGGGCGTGGGGGAACGCCTTCAATGCGTTGAACGTGCGGGCCAATCCTTCAATGTGTTGGACGTGGACTCGGCCACCCACACGCCAGCGTCACTTGGCCGCCCACGCGCCATCGCTCAGCTGGACACGCCTTCCTCAACTTGTCCGACTCAGCCACTCCGTGCATCGCACTCGACTGGACATTTTCTTGTCAGTCATCACTCTGCGGAACGCGTCTACTTCACTTAGACGACACGCGCATCACTCGGCCGCCCCGCGCGTCGCCATTGGTTGGTCATCTCATAACCACTCAGCCACCCCGCGCGTCGCCATCGGTTGGTCACCTCATCACCACTCGGCCGCCCCGCGCGTCGCCACTCGGTTGGTCACCTCATCACCACTCAGCCGCCCC